GGTTTAAGAGAGAAACCTATTCTGAATGTAAAAGTGAGTTCCACTGTGGAACAATTCACAACAACTGTTAGAGTCAGGATATACAAATGTGACCGGCCAGACTCCAAATCTCTCAACATCTGCAAGGTGCCTGGTGCAGGGTTGGTATTTAATGTTAAATGGATAAATACACAGTCTACGGAAGGAAGGAAGGAAGGAAGGAAGGAAGGAAGGAAGGAAGGGCACTATTTTCCTGTGTTTGAGGAATAACAAAATTGGCAGGTCATGAGGCCGTTTCTAAATTGTAATCTAGGCATGTCAATTCTCTGGACCATATTATATAAACACACCATCAGGCTGCCTATTTCTGCTAAACACGGAGTTTATTGGTACTGTCTGGTACATCTTTAGTCCTGCCTTTCACAATCCAGGCTATGTTAACAGTCCTTTAAAAATCATGTTACATTACTTTGGAGGAAGTACTTCCACCTGAACATGTTTAAAGAAATGTTAGATAATAACATTTTCCCCACCTCTGATGTCTAACACAGGGCGCATCAGTCTCATGTCAACGTGAATGCACGGCAACCAGGTCCGGGCTTTCTAAAGCAACTCCTTCACAGACAGCACATGGCACAGTCCTGGCGCCGTGGTCGAGAGGCCAGAGCGAAGCCGTGTATGCTGCTGGTGGGTTCTGGATCATCGCCCTCTTGTGAGCTATGTCCGCGCTTTGATCAACCATCGCAAATGACCCAACTAGAGAGAACAAACACCAAGAGCACAAGCAGAGAGGCCTGGAAAGCTCTGTAAATGCGGTGTCTGGCTGAGCCCTGAAGGGCGTCCCAGGTTGGGTGCGTGGACCATGGTGACCGCGGTATTGTGATACGGAGGCTGACGTGGACACCGGTATGGGGGGCGGACATGGAAGGCAGATGAGAAACGGGTGTGACTGCCTCATGGAGAGCTCCCAAAACACGCTGTGGGTGTTGGGGGGGTTAGTTTGCGTGACAGGGGATCTGAATCTGTCTCCTACTGAGCTAAGGAAACAAGTAGAGCTGGGAGTTTTCCTGGTTCGTGATTTCTCCTATAACTGGGTTTGCAGTTGGGTGAAAGACAGCTGTTAAGTGAACACGGTAAGCTTTCTGATGGCAGTATTGGCGGTATTCCGAAGGAACGAACCAAAGAACTAGCTGGCCCGCAACAGCGCACACGACCACGCGCAGGAGAGCTCAGAACCCACGTGAGCATCTCTCACCAGGGAACCTACTCCTGCTGGTCTCTGTTTCATCACCCACCTGTGGCTTTCGCTCACCACTTTTCCATCAGACCACACTGCAGGAGTTGCAAAGAGGCAAACTGCACATTTGCAGCTTATTACCCTAGGCAAGTACTGTGCCAATTCATCAACGTGGTAAGTAGGAGGCAGAGAATGTCCCAAAAGCCCAGGCGGCCACTGGCCTGCCAGGTAAGAGTGTCTCAAGCAGCAGCATTCTTCACACCCAGCAAGGGCCACCCACTTCTTTGAGACTCCTTGATGGGGTCCAGCATGTGGAGGGCACCAAAGAAGTCCGTCCGCCCTTCTAGTAGAACACTCTGCTAGTTAACACAGTTCTTCGCCATTCTTCGATTTCTGTCCACCTGTCGGATACTGTCTGTAACGTTAATGGTGACTTCTTTTGCAGACATTCGCTTAGCATCTCTTTTAGCCTGTTAAAGTTTAACATCATGAATTGAGTTAGTAGAAAATATTCAAATTTGCATTCATCTCTTGAGATGGTTACATAAACGTGCACATGCGCAAACAAACACACACACACACAGGCAGGAAGAAGAACCCACGAGAACACATGCACATATACTCCTTTTCAGAGGTTTCTCTGCTGAAACTCTAATACTGACCTAGCACAGAGCCTGGCATAAGGCATGCTCAGTAAAACATTGCGGAATGAATGCATTTATCGCTAAGGTCCATCAAGGGGTAGTGTGGAAGGTTCCACAGTTAGCTTTAGTAAAGCAGCGAAGGAGTGGAGCTGGAGCCAGACAGACTTTGTGGTTCAAACACTGACTAGATAATTCCACCATGAGCAAGTTTTTTTCTAACCTAACCCTCAGTTTTCTCATCCGTAAAATAGGGAATATTAATAGTACCTATCTCACCAGATTATTGTAAGGATTAAATAAGGTCATGCATTAAGGGACTCAGCATAATGCCTGTCACTAAAAAAAAAATGACCACGGGGGCCCTTGGTGGCTCAGTCGTTAAGCGTCTGCCTTCGGCTCAGGTCACGATCTCAGGGTCCTGGGATCAAGGCCCGCATCGGGCTCCCTGCTCAGAGGGGAGTCTGCTTCTCCCTCTCCCACTCCCCCTGCTTGTGTTCCCTCTCTGGCTGTCTCTCACTCTGTCAAATAAATAAACTCTTTAAAAAAAAACCACAAAAAGATTTAGTAAGTATAACAAGTAGAAAGTAAGACAGATTATCCACTTCTAAGTGAAGATAAACCAATGATAAAAGTCCAGAGTTCATATTAAATACTAAAGCACTGACTAAACTGTAGGTTCTTCAACTATATGTGTCCCACCTCAAGAGTAAACTTTAACTAGTGGGGAGTGATTTTGTGCCCATTCTGCTCAACTGCTTGGAGTGAGCACGGGAGGGGTCACAGGAGTTGCCTCCACAGTGGATGGACAGAGACAGGTGGCACCCAATCCCCAGCCCAGGAAGACCTGGTGCCTAGCTCCTGGGAGCGGAGTCAGTAAATAACTTCCCAGTTAGCTGGCCCAATGCGGGGGTACAAAGGCCTGGCCATTTGGACACAAAGCAGGCCAGCTCTGACAAGCCGCTAGGCTCTACAGGTCCCCCCGGGGTGGGGTCAGCTGCAGCTGCTGCTCAGCCTGCATCTGGCTGGCTCACCTCCTCCGTCTGGCCACTCCTGCTTCCATCCGTCCTCACCACAGTGGTTGATGCCCAATGAGCATCCTGTATAATGACATCTCAACGTCTGCCTCCTGGAAAACACGGTCCGCCTCAGATCTGAGGGAGCATCTCCCAGGGCGTGAGCATCTCCCCATGCTGGGTGTGAGTGTGGATAGATGCATGTTCGTAATATAATATGACCCCTGAATACAAGACAACTACTTTATCCGTAGTGCATCCAGAGACATGGTGGACTATGGGGCCACTGGAGAAAAAGAAAGTGGCCTGTTTGATTTACTAACAAATGATCTGTAGTTTGTAACTTGTCACATAAATCCTGTGTAGTAGCTGCTGGGATGCCCCTTCCAGATTCTCTTACATGCCTGCTGTATCCATCCCCCAACTGCTGTGAGTTTTGGCAGCTAACGGCTCACAGCAGCACCCATGTTTTGAAAATTGCCCTCATCTGATCAGAGCCACCTTGCTCAGAAATGCGACAGAGGTCACACACTAATTCCTGGAGACAGCCCAAAGCCAATGTCTCATTGTTGGGGATACAAAAGGCTGGCCATTTTGCCTTGAGGGGATATAAATCTATGGCATCTTCATGCTCCAGAGCCCCTGTGGGATCAGGCTCCATGTGGGATTCAGCAGAGCTCATATAAGCCTGAACTGGGTCCTCTGCCCCAGAAATTGTGAAATCTTGCTTTCAATCAATTGCTTGCACAAGAATCCTCGTCTTGGGCTCTGCTTCTAGGGAACCTGACCTAAGAATACTTTATGGGTGATCTGAGGGGCGTTTAGGGGATAATTTTGTCTATATGCAATTTTAGTCCTGTCCGTTGATGTCATGAGCTAGGACTTCACTGTTCTCCTCTTCATGTTCCCAGTGCCTGGCACCATCTGAAACAGAGCAGGCTCTCTACTGAAGTTTGGTTGAATTAGTGGATGAATGAATGAATGAGCACACTGCATTTGTCAATGTGCCCTTGTTTGAACAACCAGAAGTCAATGCTGTTTTAAGGACTTAGTCTTACTCTCAGCTTTTCCAAGCCTGAACTGGCACCAGGGTAAGCAGTGACTTTGATGGGTTTATTTTTCCCTAAAAGCAGAGAACTCCTAAAGTCCCACAAACAATTTTGTCTCCTAAAGAAAGAAAAGTGCGGCAATTAGGAGGCCGATTCCATCTGATTTGCGTTCTGGGTGTTGCTGCATACAAGCCTTGCGGACAGGGCATGGAATGGAGACACAGAGGCTTTATTTGAAATAAGCCAAGTTGACAGCAGCTTCCCCTCAAACCAGGAGGCAGTAAGAGAGCTTTCCACAATGGAAATGTAAACTTTCCAAACAGTATAACTGCTTTTCTTTAGAGTTCCTGGCAAGATTTCACAAAAGGTTATTAAAGATTATACACAGAAAATGCTCTGTTCTGTATTTTAGTCTGCTTTTCTAAGCTTAAAAATATAAGCAAAAATTCAATAGTTGGATGATTCTTCATTTCCTTGCCTGTTTAAGCGTCCAAAGCTACACAATAGTCACTCCCAGAACAGCCACAGAATATGCATGGTTTTAATCTCAAGAACAACGGGGCAATTTCTGTTTTTTCTTTTTGCAGTTTCTTAAATCTGGATATCCAAAGCCCATCCAAAGTGGCATTATTTAGAGCACAAGCTTTGGGGCCAGACAGAGCTCGCCTTAGGGCAAGGCTTTGTCACCAGTTAGCTGCTGCAAGATATGCTGCTTTAGCCTCTCAGTCTCAGTTCCCTTACCTGAAACATGGGGCACTAATGCCTGATTCTTTGTGGGCCTTTTTGAGAGAATTAAGCATGTCACTCAGCATTAATAGGGTGACCAACTTTTCCCAACTGGCCCAAGATTGGCCCGTTTTAAAACTGGAAGTCCTCCGTTCTGGCAACCTGGTCAGGCCCCCACAAACCAGGATGGTCGGTCAGTCCAGTTAGAGCTGCCATTAATTCTATTTGCAAAATGATGATGTCAAACATTCTAAATTTCAGCTGAAAACCTTCTTATTCTACCAGAACTATGGGTCTTGCTGCAGCTTCTTCTAAACAACACCGACGGTAAGCCTGCGCCGTATGCATTTGGATAAAGGGCAACTGAAGTTCTGTACTCCCGTGGTGGGTACAGCCTCTAAGCCATAAACAAGTCCACTCTCAAATAATCACGCTGTACGAACTCTATCAAGTTAAACAGAACAACAAGGCATTCTCTTGCAAGTGCTTTATGAAAGAGCAATGCAGACATTCGGGGGTGGGTCGTTGCTGGAATCTAGGTACACCTTGGAAATCTCAGATTTCAAGCCCAAATGAGAGGGAGAAAGAGAACTACAATGCCAGGTTATTTTCTCTAGAAGCCCTCTTGAGAAGTTGCGTTGCCCTCCTATAAGAGAAGAGCTATCGGGATACACGGAACAATTTTCCTATTTAGTTCCTCAGACAGTGTGTAGAAGAGACCTTTTCCCCTATGATGTGCTTCTCAGCCAGCCAAACCTTTTTATTTCACAGCCCACTCCCTTTATTTAACTACAGGAAAAGAAAACATGTCCCATTTGCAATTACTGGCTTAAAAAAAAAAAAAATCTCCTGGTTTGCAACTCAGTGATGAGAGAAACCTAGTTGGCACCTTTTTCTTCTGTGGCTCTCTGCTCATTCAATCCTTCTCCCACTTCTAAAATTCTTGCTTTGTGAGTTTTATCAGCACTGACTCTTGTTAATGGGCCACCTCTTGTTTCTCACTCAGCTTTACAGCTTTTCTCTTCTTCCCTCTGCCTCATTTTCATTTCTGCAGGTTTAGAACTCTATGAATCATGGATTTTAGTCCTCTTGATGCTGCCTCTTTAATTAAAAGTAATTTATCGGCTGCCGTTTCTCAAGGGTAACCAGATTGACTGTGATAACTTCCTGGCAGCCTCGAACTCAGATGAACCTGTTTCTCTTGGGGTTTTAGAAGTCGACGACCCAGCTCATTCTCTATGGAAGTAAGGGCAGTGTGCCTGGACTCAGGGGTGCAGCTGAGTCTGCTCACCACTTCTCACGTCCCCCCAACATGGGAATACAGATGTTCTCAACTTTACTTTGACTCCACAAATACATCTATACCTAACACGGGATCATCTGAACCTTTTCACAGTTCCTCACACACAACAAAGATAAGCAAGGCTTACTGAGATTATGATTTAGCAGACATCGATTTTTCTATAACTGTATTTTTTATTTTTAAAATCAATACAAAATTATAGTAAAAGAAATTCAAAGAGTAGAGAAGGCACAATGAAAGGCACTGTTATGCTCTGGCCACACTTGTGCTTCTCCCAGGGGTAAACACAGCTAATGATTTCTCTCTCCCAGTATTCTTTACTTCCTTCCTGGCCTTAACCGTGGTTTGGATTATGTATTTGCTTTTTCACTTGCATATTTTCCACATCCTCATCAGATTATAAACTTCAAGAAGGTAGGGACCCAGTGTGTTGCGTTCACCAGAATATATCCCCAGAATATAATTTAGTGCCTACCACGTAATAGACACCCAACAAATAACTTGATGAGCACATGTATAAAAAGAAATCTTCAGAAAGAAGACAAAAAATGTCCTGGGAAGGGGTGCCTGGGTGGCTCAGTCGTTAAGCGTCTGCCTTCGGCTCAGGTCATGATCCCAGGGTCCTGGGACCAAGCCCCACATCAGGCTCCCTGCTCCGCGGGAAGCCTGCTTCTCCCTCTCCCGCTCCCCCTGCTTGTGTTCCCTCTCTCACTGCGTCTCTCTCTGTCAAATAAA